TTTTTTTGGTTAATGAAATTTTACGCACAATATTTATATTAATTGCAAAACAACCCCACTTACAAGAACCACCCATATTATTAATGAAATAATTTTATATTATTGGTTTTCAAATTTGATCTTTCCCACACGTCAAAATATTGTCTTTTTATTGGTTAATGAGTTTTCTTACAAACATTATTTTGATTAAAAAACGTTCGAGCTATATGCAATATTTATAATTTCCCAATTGAGGAAATTGTATGTACAATATTTATATTAATTGAAAAAAACCCCACTTATAATATTCGCCCATATTATTAGTAAAATAATTTCACAGTATTGGTTTTCAAATTTTATCTCTCTTACATGTAAAAATAGAATTTCACAATATTGGTTAATGAGTTTCCTTTTTATAAACAATATTTTGATCAAAAAAACATAGGACTTAAATGCAATTTTTTTTAATTTTCCAATTGAGAATCGTTTTTGCACAATATTATATTAATTGCAAAAAAACTCCACTTACCATAATCACCCATATTATAAATGAAATAATTTCACAGTATTGGTTTTCAAAATTTATCTCTCCTACATGTCAAAATAGTGTCTTTTTAGTGGTTAATGAGTTTCCTTTTTATATACAATATTTTGAATGAAAAAAACGTAGGACTTAAATGCAATTTTTTTAATTTTCACATATTATTGTATTTAAATTAATTTAGATATATCCGGAAATTATGTCAATTTAAATTAATTACTCTATTTGTTACCTTTATTACATTCCTTAACTCTCCTATAAATTACCATTCAACACATGCACCTTCTTCAACTTTTCCACATACATTATTTCTGTTTCGGAGATATGGAGAGGATTCTTGAGAAAGAATTGTATTGGTATCACCTACATGCAATAGTCCCTTTTGTAGTATAATTTTACTTTATTGCTTTATTTTGTAATTTATTTCTTCATTCAATTCTATTTGCAGCATTTGAGTAATGCTTTTGTTGAAACTTCTCGGTTGACAAGATTGTCTACTCTCAACCTTCGCTACGATGAATGCAATCATTTTCAAGTTGTTGTGTGTTCGCGACAAAAAAACATGGAAAAATGTATGTGCTGTTGAATAAGGGTTGATACAATTTTGTTACGCAAATAACATGGTATGCGGTGACAAGTACTCTTTTTATTTTAACCAATGGGATGATGTACTTGAGGACTGACTCGACCCAGCCTTTTAAATGTTATGATATGTCTTTGGCATTCCTTAAAACTTTATTAATAATATGAATTGCATCGATTTTCAAATAATTTTGATTTTTTTTATTATGTTATATATCATTTATACATTAAACAAACATATGTATTCATATAAATCGAATGCATATACTAGCCACGTGGAAATAGCATTGTATTCCATTAACGTAATTGTGCACATCCACACGGAAACGAGGGCCCATAAGATAAACCGAATAAAGGTATGGAAGGGAAAAACTATTATAATATATTACAAAAGAGCCACAAAATTGGGCCAAAAAAGAAAATTTGAAAAATATCTAAATAACTAATTTTACATAGATGTTATATATCTGATACATAGATATGTATTGCTTTGATAGTTGTGAAACTAATGTTATATGCATCTAAGCCCATATAATGTTAATATTTATCGTTAAAAACTATGTATTTACGGTCTTTATTGTTTTAATAAAAACCGCGTTAAAAACAATGTATTTACTGTCTTTATTGTTTTAATAAAAACCGCATAATCTATGCAACAATTAAATGTAAAAGTATAAAATCATGTGCATAATTATATTTAATTGTTATTGTAATAATGTACAATAAGCAAATCAGATATATACAAATTTTCACATGTACAATAATGTACAAAATTATATATTGTTCCATATAAAATATGTAAAATGTATTAACCATATATAAAATACATATGGATATTTTGTATATCGAATATATATTTTCGTAATGTATGTATGGATATTTATTTTATATGTATTTTCGCACAATATATATTTTGTTTCCTTAATATTAATTAATAATGATGTAAAATTTTAGAATTATGTATCGGATATATAATTAATTCTAATTAAGAATATAAATCTATTTAAATCAAAATTTAATTTGTGCAAATTATTTATAGAAAATTGCTTAATTGTATTTCATTACATGGAACATGAATATTTGTTGCAAGACAAAATTTCGTAAATTAATTCTTCTTCCCACATGTTTCCAAAATATCAAGTAAAATTGTGGCTAATGTTAAATTAATATATATTTTCCCCGGCGTTGACTTTTTTTTTTCTTTTCTATAATTTTGTTTTTTCTTACAAAATATTTTAATTAATATTACTGTCTTGGCTACTAAATTACTGTCTCCAACAGTTATTTAACTGTGCCAGACAGTAATTTAACTATTAATTGATTTTTTTTTCTTCAAATATATTTTAATTAATATTACTGTCTTGGCTGCTAAATTACTATCTCCAGTAGTTATTTAACCGTCGGATACAGTAATTTAACCGTTAATTGCCTTTTTTTTAAAATATTTTAATTAATATTACTGTATTCGTTGATAAATTACTGCCTCCAGCAGTTATTTAACTGTCGGAGACAGTAATTTAACTGTTAATTGACTTTTTTTTTCTTACAAAAATATTTTTAATTAATATTACTGTCTTGGCTGCTAAATGACTGTATCCAGCAGTTATTTAACTATCAGAGACAGTAATTTAACTGTTAATTGACTTTTATTTTTATTTTTTTTTCTTGAAATAAATTATTTTAATTAATATTACTGTCTTAGCTGCTAAATTAATGTCTCCAACAGTAACTTAACAGTCTCAGACAATAATATTAATAATATTTATGTTCGGAAAAATAATATTCATAATATTACTGTCCCAAACAGTAATATTATTGTCTAAGACGGTAATTCAGTAGCCAAGACAGTAATATTAATTAAAATATTTTTTCTAAGAAAAAAAAATCGAAAAAAAAAAAGTCAATGCCAGAGACCGTCGGCCGGAAAAAAAAATTCAGAAAAAAGTCAACGCCGAAATCTGGCCGGAAAAAAAAAATTCTAAAAAAAAATATTTTCTGAAAAAAAAAATTCAAAAAAATAATATTTTGGGGGTTAATGTGATATGTTTGTTTAAATCCGGGGTCATATGTAATATTAAGAAAGTTAGAGCATAATGGATGAATTGATAAGAATTATATTATGGAGGTTATTTTAGACTAAAGACATGGGGATGAGTTTATTTGAAATACTGTTGTTTTTTGTAGACCAATGTGCATTTAAGTCCCTTGTGATGGACGTTTTTGCCATTCGCCCTATATATATATGAGTATACGATAGGTATTAGTTATTTATATGATTTATTTTTCCTTTCTATTTAGCCTTTATTTATAAAGGGGTTTTCTTACAATGTTTTAATATTGATTGCAAATGTTATTGGTTCGATTTTGTGGATAGGTTCATTAGCTCACCTAGCCGGTGGAACCAAACAGAACATTCCATTTGAACTTGAAGATATTAAGTATTTAAAACTCACCGAATTTTTTTTTTTTTATTTTATATGTGTTTTTCATATCCATCATCATTTTCTTTGACATGGAAGTGATTGTTTGCTAGGGGAAAACTTTGCTGACTACATACTTCAACGAATTTAGGATATTAGTGTAGGGCTTTATATTGTTGTAATACAATTTGCAACTACTGAGATTAAAAATAGTATTAATTTGTTCAATATTTCTCTTATGTATTTGGTTTAATGAATGTGAATGACATTTATTACATTTCATGACTATTCTTATGTTTTCTTAGGTGAAGTCCAGGTATCCAACCATTGTCATTCATCGCATGTGCTTATAAATGAGGATATTCCTGCAATTAACGAATTCAAATCGAGGTTATAATTTTATCTTTAAATAAATTAATTACTTTGTTTTTACATTTATTTCGTTCATTAGCATGTAGTTTTTATTTTAGTTTCATTCGAAGTAAACCAAATAGTTGTCAAGTGATAAGTCAGATGTCGTCGCAGTCTTCTTACTCGATGGAAGATGATTCCATACGTAAGATTGTTAGAAAAAAATTGGACGAATTGAGTGACACAAATGAGGTAATAACAATGTATTTGCTACATTATTTATTCGTACACTTTCAATAAAATAAAATATAAACCATTTATCAAATCTGATTATAACTATATTTAACTAACTATTGTTTATTTTCTCAGTATAGGATTTCCAACTCTCTTCATCACCATCACATGCAATCCTCAATGGCCTGAAATACAAAGGGTGTTGCAGGCCGGGGGATCGGCCAAACATTCTATGTCGTGTGTTCAAGATGAAGCTTGACAGTATGATGACATAAATTAAGAAATGACGTGTATTCGGACGTATTAGAGCATGCACGTATTTAATTAGATCTCAATTTATAATTATACATTTACTACATTCATAAAAATTAGAGATATGCATCATATGTGAGTTTTAATATTTATTTATTCATTAACTAAATTAATGCATATTGTTTCATATCATTTGTTTACAGTTCCTCTCCAGATGTGTGGACTATTGAATTTCAGAAACGAGGTCTATCGCATGCACATATTTTGTTGTGGTTGTATAATGATGACAAGCCCAAGACCCCAGAAGAAATTGACAAGATTATGTGTTGAAATTCCTGACGAAGAAACCGACAAAAAGATGTACCAGTTGGTGGAGAAGTATATGATACATGGACAGTGCGGTTAGGCGAATTTGAAATCTCCCTGTATGAAGGGTCGAGTTTGCACGGAGCGATTTCCAAAGCCATTTGTGCGGCGAACTGAGTCAGATACATATGGTTATACTGTGTACAAGAGAAGGGAAGATGGCATAACGGTTATGAAGAGGAAGACTACTCTTGAATGGTTTTGTAGTTCCGTATAATTGGGTATTATTGAGTAAGTACAGATCTCACATTAATATAGAGCTATGCAACCAAAACATGTCAATCAAATACATGTTCAAATACGTCAACAAGGGTCATAATCGAGTTACAACGGCATTTTACGAAAGATGCAATATAGATGGTTGTGCTGAGATTCGTGACGAGATAAAGATGTACTACGATTGCAGATATCTTTCAGCATGTGAGGCAATGTGGAGGTTGTTTAATTTAGATATTCATTACAGAGACCCATCCATAATTAGGCTAAGTTTTTATCTCCCAGATCATCAGTCGCTTGTCTTCAATGAAAACAAGTCATTACAAAGTGTTCTGGATAGGCAATCTGCCAAGCAAACGATGTTCTTAGCGTGGTTTGAGGTAAACAAAAGTTATCCACATGCCAGGGACTTGAGGTACGGAGATTTTCCACAGCAGTTTGTGTATAAGGAGGATTCTTGCACTTGGGCGCCAAGAAAAAATGAATTTTCTATTGGTAGGATTGCAAATGTTCCCCCTGCAAAGGGGGAAGACTATTACCTTAGGTTGCTACTTAACATTCAGAGGGTGCAGGTGTTACGAGGACATCAGAAAGTTGCTGACTACGTTTACCCTACGTTCAGGGATGCGTGTTATGTGTTGGGTTTGTTAGACGACGAGAAAGAATACATGAATGCGATAAGAGACGTGAATGCTTGGGCATCTTGGGATTATATAAGGAGGTTATTTGCGGTTATGCTGCTTTCCAATAGCTTAAGTCGGCCCGAACATGTTTGGCAAAGTTTTTGTTCGGGTTTGGCGGAGGGTATTGCTTACAGAGAACAATGGCTTCATAATAATCCAGGTATAGCAATTTGTATAGAATAGAATTATATTTTAAATATTACTCATTTTTTTAATAGGCTCTTTAAGTTTTGAACTAAATGCATATAATGTATCAAATTTTTGAGCAGATTTGTCTATATCGGATGAAAGCTTGATGAACTATACTCTCACTAAACTAGAGAAAATATTGCAAAGTAATGGTAAAAGTCTACATAATTACGTGCCCATGCCATTTCCAATTGAATTCGCGGTGGAGGACACAATAAACATATTGGTCTTAGATGAACTGGATTACGACGGTTTGAAATGGGTAAAGAACTTCAACGGTGTCTTGCCTCAATTATAGACGAGCAAACAAAGGTTTATGATGTAGGATGTTGTATCTAATGACCGTGGTGGAATGTTCTTTCTATATGGTCATGGTGGAATGGGAAAACATTTCTCTGGAAAACTCTTTCGGCTACAGTCCGTTCCAATGGAGAGATTGTAATTAATGTTGCATCGAGTGGTATATCATCGTTATTGCTCATCGGTGGAAGAACAACTCATTTTCGATTTCCACTTCCCATAACTGTAAACGAGACTTCCACCTACAGCATAACGCAACAAAGTCCACAGGTGGAGTTGATGATTAGGGCTAAGCTTATTATGTGGAACGAGGCTCCTATGATGCATATGAACTGTTTTGAAGCGCTTGAGAAGACAATTAAGTCAATATTACAGGTAGACAAACCGTTTGGAGGTAAGGTGGTTGTTCTTGGAGGAGATTTTAGGCAGATTTTACCAATTGTATTGAAAGCATCAAGGCAGGACATAGTACATGCTACGGTAAACTCCTCTCCGTTGTGGCATTTCTGTCGTGTCATGAAGTTGAGTAAGAACATGAGATTGCAGTCATGTTCTTCTCCAACTAATGTGGACGAGGTAATAGAATTTGGGGATCGGATACTAAAGGTTGGTAATGGGAATGTTAGGGAACAATATGATGGTGAAGCTTCGCTAGAGATTCCCGAGGACTTGTTGATTGGTGATTCAGAAGATCTATTCAGAGACCTACTGAACTTCGTCTATCCTGATTTGTTGAGTAACATGTATGATCCAGATTATTTTCAAGGGAGGGCGATTCTTGCAGCAACTAATGAACGCGTCGAGTCTGTGAATGATCACTTGATGTCTCTCCTTCCAGGTGAGGAGAAGGTGTACCTGAGCTCAGATAGTATGTGTAGGGACGAGCGAACAACGGATCGGAGGATAATGCAAAAATCTATTCGACTCAATTTCTCAACACAATAAGTTGCTCGGGGGTTCCTTCTCATGTATTGAAGTCCAAGGTCGGTGCACCAGTTATGTTAATAAGAAACATCAATCAAGCAGAGGATTGTGCAACGGGACCTGACTTCAAATTATTATAATCGGCATTCACGTTCTGCATTGTAAACTTCTTTCCGGCAAAAATAGCGGTGACATTGTGTTCATTCCTCAGATGACTTTAATACCATCTAAGTTCGGATTCAATTAAATTTCAGAGAAGACAATTTTCGTTGATTGTTTCTTTTGCAATGGCGATCAACAAAAGCCAATGCCAAACTCTTTCGCATGTTGGTTTGTATCTTCCTCGGCCTGTCGTCAATTATGATCAACTATATATTGCACTGTCCAGAGTTACGAGTTGAGGTGGCATTAAGATAGTCATCAAGTGGAATTCGGACGAACTCACCGATGTTACTAGAAATGCCGTCTACAAGGAAGTATTTCATCGAATTTGAAGGTTGAAAATATTTTTATATTTATGAGTTCTTCATGTAACATGTCTTGGTTTTTATTTTTTTTAATATCTTACTCTTTGGCAGGTCTATCTTTCCTATACGTTTTCCCCCGTGCGATGTTATTTTCAGTCCTGTCCCTAGGATGATCGGTGCAAATCTTATTATCTTTAAGATTTATGTTTGTCGATATACTAATATTTAATATTATTTTTATATTGTAACTATGAAGAACATGATACTTATAACATATTTTTAATATTGTTGGTCAATAACCTTTTGTACTTAAATTAATGAGCGTAATAATTGATATCTATGTAAATTTGTTTTACAGACATGTATTTCCAGTTGAAAATAGGGATAATTAGTAAAAACCCCCTAGTTCATTTACTTATATCAAGGTGGGTATAGCCTCATTTTCATTATTAGTGAGAACCCCCTTAATTATTTAATTAAATTAATATTAATATAATTATTAAGTGTTATACCAATATTATCCTTAATTTTTCAAATCTTATATTTACAAACCCTAGCCATATTTGCTGCAACAAAACGCCGTTCTCAAATCCCCACAACCGCCGTTCTCAAATCCCCTTCATCTCTTGTTCTTTTCTGGAATCGAAACTCACTCGGCTCGATGGCGGCGGCAGTGAATTCATGACGAAGGCGGCGCTACATCTCAACAACGACAAGGAAGACCCCTTTATCTTCTTTCTCGAATTGGGAATCCGACGGATGTGGGGCAAGATCTCGACAACGACAAGGCGCCGCCGACGAATTTAGGACGGACGGCGGCCTTCCGGTTCCCCCCCCCCCCCCCTTCCTTTCTGAGGGATGAGCAGATCTGCTGGTATTTTTTTTTTTTTTTTTGTTCTTTCGATTTTTGGAAGCATTCCTGGAATCCTCGACGGAAGACCGCCTCCACCACCGTTGTAATGGAATAGATTGACCTCGAGGAGTAGGTATTGTTTGGGAGGCTTGTTTGTTGAAATTGTGTTCGTGTTACTCAAAAAGATATAGTTGTTTTCGTTACGGTTGTAGTTGGTTTCAATAATAGTCGTTTTTGTTGGTATTTTGGTGTGTTTTTTTGCTTTTGCTTTTGTGGATTTCAATAATTTGTAGTTGATTCAATATAGTTGTTTTCGTATAGCAATATAGTTGTTTTTGCACAACAATATACTGTTTTCATTACTTTTTAGTAGGTTTGAATAAATAGTTGTTTTAACAAATAGTTGTTTTGGAGATGTTTTGATTAAATAATTAGTTAACCTTACAATGGAAATAACATAATATATAATTAATTTAATAAATTGTGAAACTGATGTATCATTGTTTTAATAATAGTCGTTTTAATAATAGTCGTTTTATCGGCATATAGTTGTTTTAAATGAAACTAAAATAATATAGAAAAAGAAGATTTAAAGAAAAATATTAAAAAAATAAAAAAATAAAAATCTTTTTTTTAAAAAATATTATTTTTTAAAGAAGAAATAAATAAAAAAACGAAAATTAAAATTAAAATATAAAAAAAAAAAAAAAAAATATATCAAACTAGAGGATAATGGGTAGTGACTAGTGAATAGTGGGAGGGTAAATTTGAGAATAAAAAAAAAATGGGTTTCTCACTAATAAAGAAAAAGGAGCCGAACCCATCCTTATTAAAATAATGTTAGAGGGGGTTCTCACTAATAGTCCCTTGAAAATATGCCGCTCCGTGCATCGCACGGGTGAATACTAGTAATTGAGAAAAACACAATAAATATTTCATTGGAATCCTAAAGTTACAATTACTTTGAAAAAAACAATTTCTCTAGAAAGACAAATAATTGGAAAGGTAGGAATACATAATATTTTGATTGAAGTAAATGGTTTTGAAATAAAATAAAATTTTCCAAGAATAAATAACTCATTCCAACTTAATACCATAACAAAAATATTTTTATTTGACGAATATTTGTATTAGTTTCATTGAATTAAGGTGCAATTATTATTTTTTCATTTATATTTTGCATATTTAGACTGCACTAAAAAAATTCTTATTCTTAACAATTTCAGCATCAATCTCGGCAAACATATGCATTTTCGAAATGCACAAAAAAAAATTAAAAGGGGCTATTTGACAAAATAAAAATCTCATTGAATTTTGATTTCTTGATAAATCCAGTTTTTAAATTGATATTTGTTATAAGTCTAATCAACACAAAATAGACCAATTAACTATTCCAAAAAATAAAATAAAAAATATGTCGATATTTGCAAATCCGGCCCCTAATCTACACCGAAATCTCCTCCATAATTTATGCCCACAAATCACGCTTTCAAATCCACTTGAAAACAATGAAAAATGTGCATGTTACTCGCAAAGAGAGTTATAGGTGATGTCAATGCATGTGCTGTAAAACACTACTTTGATAATTAAATTTTTGTTAAGGATCCGAGTGTATTGGACGAGAAAGTTGTACCATTTGGGTCGTACAATGTATCTTATTTTTTATATCACATTTTTCGTATTTTATATTTTCTTTTATCATTTATTTTGTTTATATCTGCACTTAAATCAAATGGAATTGATATTGTTTTTAAACTTTGTAGATTATATCGTATTATATATAAACTATTCAAAGTTTTCGTTCATTATTTTATTCAAACCTATTTTCATTTTTTATATTACCCACATGCATCACATTAGCAACCTTTTTTTCATTTATAAAGGTATTTGATTTACCTCCTCGGCGTGTTTTAGTAATTAAAAAATTGTACTTAGAATTGATCCTCGTGCATCACACGGATGAGTCACTAGTATAAAAAAAATAAGAATTTAAAGATAATATATCTAATTTTATGTAATACATATATGTAAAAAATAAGATTTAAAAGTATATTCAAAATAATGTACCATAAATATTTAAAAAAGTCATAAATATTAAAAAAGAAAAAATAAATAAATAAAATAAAATAAAAGGGAACACATAGTAGGGGTGTGCGTGGGTCGTAAACCTGAGGGTTTTTAGCAAAACCCGCCCTCGTCCCGTAAACCAACGGTTCTTGATTTTAAAGAACCAAACTTGCGGGTTTTCGACGGGTTTAGGATAGACTGGTCTTTTGCGGGTTTAAAGTAGAATCCGACCTTCACGGGTCGAAACCCGTCGTAAGTTAAAAAAAGTTATTCTTTAATAATTTATAAGTTTTGCGCGAAAGTATTTAAAAATTAAAATGAATGACCAAGTGTAAAATTTTAAATTGAAACAAACATAAATAACATCAATGATAAATGTTCAGAGTAAATCAAAATTAATACATTTTAACATAATTCCAAAAAAGAGTAACTAAATTCAAACATCTATAAGACAAGATTTAAAAATAAAATAGATAATCATACACAAAACGAGACGATATCTTCGTTATAGATGTAACTTATAATTTTTGACAAAATACTTTATTTATGTATTATACCTTATTAATTTATTATACTACATAATATAAATGAAATGACGTCGTTTTGCATAGGTGGGCGTGACAGGTTTCACGGGTAGTAATTTTTTATGAACCCGTGGATCTTACCCATTTAAAGACTCAATCCCATAGATGACCTATCCGTCCAGTCCTAACGGAGCGGTTGTTACCGGGTTTGACAGGTTCAACTGATTGATAGGTCCCACTTGCTGACCCCTAAGACAGTATATTTGTTTAAAATACAGTACTAGCTGAGTTTGATCCCAAGCCTATCAAGGAGTCTACAAGACACCTTACCATTCACCATAGGACAACATTACATTACAGTAACACATCAAAACTTATTTAATATATCCATATATAGGTAGGGATGGCAACGGGTCGGTTATGGGTCGAGTTTGCCTAAACCTTAGACCCGATCGGTGAAAAATATACAAAACTCAGACCCGCCCCAATCCGGTTCAACTTAGACTCAGACCCGTCCCAACCCATTCTTGAATTAAACGGTTATGACCCGCCAGACCCGCTAGACCCGTTAACATTAAAAAAAGTTTATTAATTTTTAACTTCCATAATATTTTGCTTCTATATTTTAAAAAAATAATCTAAAAATTAAATTACCATAATTTAAAATACTTCTACAAGTGATAAACAATGAATAATAAAATTATATTTAACTTCTACAATACGTAAAGTTCAAAAGGCAAAGCGGCTAGCGGTGGTCGACAAGTGATATATTTTACTTACGAGAAATGAGATCAAAAAATATGAAATGGTGAAAAATGGGTAAATGAGAATAGACACGATGAAAATTGATAGTTTGATAGATGAAACCATAAATTAATTTATATATATTGATTAATTATAAAATATAGGGTTAATATTGAAGACACCCCTCAAACCAAACCCAATTAGGTGTGAAGCACAACCTTAAATAGAATATTTTAACTAAATCCTTATTTAAAAGAAAAATTTGATACACATCCTTTAATTTATTTTTAACCCGAAAATACCCTTATAATAATTAATAAAAAATCACGATCTTCTCTCACCTTATTTCTCCATTTCTTTCTCTCTCTCTCTCCCTCTCTCTCAATTCTCGCCGCCGCAAACATTCTCTCTCTTTCTCTCTCTTTGGCTCTCTATTTTCTTCCGCCCCACCCCCTTCTCTCAGTTGTGATCTCTCTTCTCTCTTTCTATCTCTCTAACATCAATTGTTCTCTCTCTTCTATCTCTCTATCTCTCTAACAGATCTACGTTTTGTGGCGGAAAAAGATAAATCTGAAATTGGAAGTGGCGGCGCATCACGAACAGGCGGTAGACGGGTCCGACGCCTCATCCCCAATTGGTGGTAGAGGGAGACGGTGGCTATGGCGATGTGTACCTATTGTCATCCCGAAGTGACGGTTGAGGGAGACGGTGGTAGTTGTGTTTATAGAGGGATGGCTATGGTTGTACATAGTGAGGCGGCGGTTGTGGAGATGGCCGACCATTTGGTGGTATGAAGTTAGATCGGCGATGGAGGCGATTTCATCAAACTAGGGCTCTTTGATGTCTATGGATTTTAGTAGATTCCTAGGGTTTGGTGGATATGGGTTGGCGGCTGCTGGGAGTGTTCGCTGCTAGGGTTTGGCCGTGACTGCGTTGACGATGGCTGAGAGGTGTTGGCGGCTAGGGTTTTGTAACAGTACGCTATAGTACACTATAGTAAACTGTAGTATACTACAGCCTATTGTACTGTATATGAACAAATAAAGGATGTGCCGTGAACTGTAGTAAGTCATAGTACTAAGTCATAGTACGCTATAGTACACTATAGTAAACTGTAGTATACTACAGCCTATTGTACTGTATATGAACAAATAAAGGATGTGCCGTGAAGTGAAATTCAGTTTGAAATACGTACAAGAGAAGAAATGTAAATTGTCTACGTAGAATAAAAGGAAAAAAAAATTAAGTTTTTTATAATAGTTTACAAACTGCTTAAAATTGGAGAAAGAAAGAAAAAAAAAAAAAAAAAAAAAAAAAAAAAAAAAAAGAAGAACGTATCTTCTATATTAATATTTTTTTAATATTAGATGGGAAAATGAATACATTAAATGTC